CTTGGCGAGTTCAGTTAAAGGGAGAAGAGGCATGGTGCGCAGAACTAGAACAATCTACCCCGGTGGACGAAATAAAGGGTTCAGTTTGAAATTCTAATCACCTGAAGAAGGCCGGTGCGTACAACGGCCGACACGTCGTGAACATGACAATAAGGATGGGGACAACAGTCCGAATAATGTAAAGGATTTATTTTATATCTAACATTTTTACTATTTCAAGGGTTATTAAAGTGCTTTCTATAATTAGAGTAAAATGTGTCTTACTTGCTGAGAAGTTCTTCGTGGCCGAGCTGTAAAACACGTCGAAATAAACGGTGGCATTCTCTACCAAGGGGGACACAGGTTTGATCCCAGCCAGAGTACACATTTCCATTACGCATTTTTTTTTTCGAATGCGCAGCCCGATTGACGCAATACACACAGATTAATAAATAAAATAGAATGTCTCTTTCAAATCCCGTTTGAAGTAATGCACACACACACACACACACACACACACACACATATATATATATATATATATATATATATATATATATATATATATATATATATATATTCAATAACTGTCTATGTAAATGTAATATTCATTCAAAGAATAGTTCAATCACGGAGAAAAGAAGGTTTTCTTTTTTGTAGTTCGTATCGTAGATTCGAATACGAAAGTTTATTTGGTCTATGTATAAAGAGTAGATGTAGAAAGGACTGATTTAAATTGACTGACATTCACGCTATAATCTGGTAGAGAATGGTGTTGAGAGAGGAAGAGGGTTATCTGCTTGGTATTTGGCTGCTTATAGTATTTGGAGGAATATCTGAGTATTATGGTGGATAGGTTATAGGACCATAATGATGATACGTATTGGGAACTCTTTACTACGTCGTTCGAATTTATCAGCTTCTTCTTCTCCTTCTTCTATTCATATTTCTTCTTCTTCTTTTTCTTCTTCTTCTATTCATATTTCTTCTTCTCCTTCTTCTTCTTCTTCTTCTTCATCTTCTATTCATATTTCTTCTTCTTCTTCTTTTTCTTCTATTCATATTTCTTCTTATTCTTCTTCACTTTCTTCTTCTTTTCATAATTCTACTTCTTCTTCTTTTTCTTCTTCTTCTCCTTCTTTTTCTTCTATTCATATTTCTTCTTCTTCGTCCTCCTCCTCCTCCTTCTTCTTCTTCTATTCATATTTCTTCTTCTTCTTTTTTTTCTATTCATATTTCTTCTTCTTCTTCTTCTTCTTCTTCTTTTTCTTCTATTCATATTTCTTCTTCCTCTTCTTCTACTATTCATATTTCTTCTTCTTCTTCTTTTATTCATATTTCTTCTTATTCTTCTTCACTTTCTTCTTCAATTCATAATTCTACTTCTTCTTATTTTTCTTCTTCTTTTTCTTCTATTCATATTTCTTCTTCTTCTTCTTCTATTCATATTTCTTCTTCCTCTTCTTCTTCTACTATTCATATTTCTTCTTCTTTTATTCATATTTCTTCTTATTCTTCTTCACTTTCTTCTTCAATTCATAATTCTACTTCTTCTTCTTCTTTTTCTTCTATTCATATTTCTCCTTCTTCTTCTTCTTCTTCTTCTTCTTCTCCTCCTTCTTCTTCTTCTATTTATATTTCTTCATCTTCTTCTTCTTTTGCTGCTGCTTATTCTATAAATTTCTCTTCTTCTTCTTCTTTCTGAACCTGCAAACTCCCTGGTGAGTTTATGTTCACAACAAAATCCCATTAGCTGCTACTGGCAGGGTCTCAATCAAAAGACTTTCATAGCTACCAGCCCCACGCTCAATCCTTTCCCTAATCTGGCTGATACTGAGAGAGAAAGAGAATGAGATGAATTTAGTGAGGAGAAAAGACAATAGAAGAACAATGTTCAGGAAGATGGCAATTGACGTTGTATTTAAATGTTTGAAGATCGTAGGTGGCAATGTTCATAGTACGCTTAAGTTCACGCGATCGGTGTACGAAGGAGGTGAGCTCATTAGAACAACTACCATGAAAATATTTATAGAAACGACAAAGGGAAGATGTGTCAAGGCGTGAGAGTATTGACTAATGCTAAAATGTCAGATCAAAATAGATAAGATTCCAGACACTTCTTTTTGTCTTGTCAAGAATTAGAAAGAGCCCCGAATCAAATATGACAGCAATATTCAATACATGAGGAAATGGTAGCTTTATAAATGTGTAAAATTGAATGTGGTGAGAAAAATTGTCTTGCACTACTCAGCGAACTAGCTTTCCTAGCAAGAGATATAGCAACTTAATCAAAATAATCATTCAACTCCATATCTGTGGAAGACCTGAGAACAAGAAGGCACAATGAGTTGCTCTCCTGAAAATTAGCATTAACCATGGTGATGGAAAGGAAACTGGATCTCTAGGAAGATTAAAGGATATCAGTTGCGATTTGATGACGTAAAAATTTACAAGATATTTATTGCCCTACTTAAATGATTAGAGGTAATTTTGCTACCAGTTCTACATTATCAGATCTAGCGGATTTACCATTAAAACAGGAGTAAATATTTGTATCATCGGCATAAATAGCGCGCTGGGAACTGATTAAATCGCGAAGGACGTTGATGAAGATAAAAAAAAATCAAAACAACGTAGGTTTAAGGATAGAACTTGGGGGGAACTCCGCGTTAATGTGGAAAGATCAAGACACGTGTCTGTACAGTTAGACCTTCATTACACAACTTGCTAACAACGACTGGGTTAAGTCAGATATTCGTCCAATAACACCATAACCCTTGAACTTGTGAAGAAACCAGCAAGACAAACCTTGTCAAACGCTTTAGAGATATCCGTCCGTCTCTGTTCTTGTATAAAGCTTGACAAATTTAGTATTAACCGTTAACACGTCACAGGTTGACCTAGAAAAACGAACGCTATATTGCTTGTATGAAAGGAGATAGTGAGAAGTGAGTTGCTTGGAAATTCTGGTATCTTTTCTTTCTTTTTATGTGCCATGTCCTTTCAGGATGTATGCGATCATGGCTCTCCACCTCCCTCTATCCATTGCAGCTCCCAACAAGTTCCTTCCCTTTGCTTCCTCCTCCAGACCACGTTCTGTCATCCACTTGCTTAAGTTCGCTAGATATGTCTCACGTTTTTCCCTTATCTCTCTTTCCCGCTATTCGACCTGTGGGTATCAGATTCTCTAGGCACTCCTTCCTTATTATGTCCCAGAAACTTCAGCTTCTTCTTCCTGACATTAAGCCTCCTCTTTGTTTGAAACCTCTCTAAGATCCCATCGTTGTTCATACGCTTGGTTCATGATATCCTTAGCATCCTTCTGTAGAACGGTATCTCCGTCGCCTCGCGTCTCTTCTTCATCTTTGGGGAAATCGTCCAACATTCGCTGCCGTAAAGAAGGGCAGATGTCACGTAACTGTTCAGTATTCTTTTCTTTATTACCAAAGATATCCTCCTGTTTCGCAGTACTCTGCCCAACTTTTGGAATGCGTCCTTGGCCATCCCGATATGCCTACAGTTCTCAGTGTTGCACTTACCGTCCTCTCTGAAGACGCTTCCCAGATGTTTAAATTCTGCTTCATTCTAGTGTTCCCGACCTTCAGATCGCATTTCATGCTCATCCTCTCACTGACGACCATACACTCCGTCTTCTTGTAGTTTATGCTTAGTCTCTTCTTCTCACTCTCCATCGCTATCTTCTGTAGGAGATTTTGTAATTTCATTTCCGTGTCTGCTATCAGTACTGTGTCATCTGCGTATCGAATGTTGTTAAGAATGTGGCCGCTAATGCTAAATCGCGGTAGGGTTTCCAATATTCTCATGATTGCCTAGCTATGGAATCAATATATGTACTATTATTCTGCAGTGAAATACCTTAAATATTCACTGATGCTATAATTAAGATGATATGATTGGGAGACGCGGAAAACAAACTACAAAATCTCTTACGGAAGGTAGTGAAGGAAAGCGAGAAGAAAGGACTAAACATAAACTACAAGAAAGAATGATTGATCATCAATAAAAAGAAAAATCCCAAATGAAAATTACAAGTCGGTTATACTAAAATCAAGCAGGCACAGAATATCTGGAGAGTCTTCTAACAGAGGACGGAAATTACAACACTGAGATCCGAAGACGTATTGGGATGGGCAAAGACGCATTCCAAAAGCTAAGCAGAGTATTAAGAAACAGGAAAATTTCGTGGAAAACAAAATACTGAACTATTACGTGATATCTGCCCACCTCTATAGCAGAGAATGCTGGGCAATCTCCTCAAAGATGAAGAAGAGACTCGAAGCTACAAAAATGAGATTCTACAGAAGGATGCTGAGGATAACATGAGTCGAACATGTGAACAAAGGGAACTTATGCTTAACATCAGGAAGAGGCAGTTGAAATTTCTGGGAAACATAGTGAGGAAGGAGGGCTTAGAATACCTGATACTCACAGGACGAATAAAGAGAAAGAGCAAGAGGGAAAG